CACACACACACACACACACACACACACACACACACACACACACACACGTTAAAGATGTGGGATAATAGCTCGTCTCTGGAATCAGCTGTGCTAAGCTTCCATCACTTTCTGCATGCATGATTTGAATTGTAAACAAGCCCAAAGAGAGGCATGAGCAGAGTGCATGTCAGTGCAGAGTACATGTGACACACTAAACTCCTTACTCACTGACAGGAGTCCACTTACCATCTATCCTGCTGACCAGCTCCTCTAAAGCTTTCACTTTGTTCTGGATTCCAGGCTGAGCAAAGGTGTAGTTGTCCTGAAAGGATAGCATGTTCAGTAAACAGGCACATTTGCAGCTTTAAACAAGTGTTTATTGAGATGTGTGCGTGTGACCAGACCTGTATTCCATCCAGCAGCTTGCTCATGCACCAGAAGCTGTCAGCTTCGATGTTTCTCTGGGTGTCCAGAGGCAGCGCTGCCACCTCAAAGTTCTCCACATCCTCTGCTGGGACAACAAATAACACTGAATGACACCGAAATGGCCAGACTCATACAGATGACTCTTATTCAGATTGATTGAAGAAATGTTTATGACCTTGGATGTGATGTGGTATCAGCCCTAGTAACAACAATGTAAAATATAGGTACATAAAATAGACAAAAAAGCGTGAAACCAGAAACAAGAGCTGACATGAGTCACTTGGTCCAGTGTCAATATAACGGGGCTCTATGCAGGAAATTTTCCACCAGTGACTTACTGACAAACTCAGAGAGGAAGACGACAAAGAAGGGCGTGACCAGATCATTGATTCCCTGGACGTAACCGCTGGCTGGGTGACGGATGGCCCAGATAAAGAGGATACGCTCAAACACCTGTGAACAGAAAGACAACAACAAAACGGTTGATTAATGTGTGCCTCAGTGGCTCAGTGGTAGAGCAGGGTCGTTCTTCAATCAGAGGATCGGCGGTTGGATCCCGGCTCCTCTAGTCCATGTCAATGTGTCCATGGGCAAGACACTTAACCCCAAATTGCTCCCGTAGCCTCTGTCATCAGTGTTGAATGTGTGAATGATGACATGTAGCGTTAAAGAGCTTTCACTCTGATTCTTAACTCTCAGGTCCAGCATATCAGACATACAGTATGTTGCTCTGAGTTACAGTGTGTAAACCTTTTGATGCATTAATGAACATTGAACATTAATAAAGAATTATTTGGCCTGCTCTAATGAGGCTGTGATTAAACCCAGTCACAGGTTTCTGGTAAATGTGGACGCAAATCTTTGGTGTTTTGAAAACCCACATAATATCACCACATTTAAGGAACAAGCCAAGTTCCTTTTAACAGCAAGTGTAGTAATCTGATGCTAGTCCTTCCTCAGTGACTGTCACAGTCATAGTATCACTCACAGGGTCATGACTTATCTACAGTAGATAGCATCAACTTGTATCTAAAGAGTGTCCAATCTCATTTGTCTCTGCTTGACATGAGATAAAGCAAAGTTGAGTTTTTTCAATGAGGCCTGTATCAAGGTGCTAGTTCAACTTAGTCTGGCTCTCTGTTGAGGTTACCAGGCTTCACGGAGGCTAACACCTGTGATCCTAGATAACCCCTATCAGAAAGCTGCTTCTTAACTTCTAATCCAGCTATGAGACTGTGGGAAAGATTCCCTAATTACAAGCCAATTGCATGACACCTAAAATCAAGGCTCGAAAACTACACAAACTGAGCAAAAATGGTCTCAAGGACAGAAAGGAAAGACTGACCTATGAACCGATTGAGCTTATAAAAATGTGTGGATTTTTATTCTCCAATAAAAGGCGATAGTGATTCTACCTTTTATTTCCACTCATCATCTCATTGAGTCTGAGCAGATTTAACACTCACAAAGTTGACTCTGAGCTGCAAAGACAGAATAAGAGTGTTCCAGAAACTACAGCCACAATTCACCATGTATTAGGTTGTTAGTATGGTAAAGTACAGACGCCCTATTTTAAACCCAGTTCGGACACATGGTGCTTTTCTCTGGTATAATGATCATGGCTCTATTGATCTGTCTCCGTTTCTTGCTTGTTGCTTTATTGTAAACTTAAACTGTGCTCTTGTTCACCTGCAGCAGAGGTTGTCACGACAATCTAGCCCAGTTAAAAGTGAGCCAGCAGGCTAACCTCTTGATCTCGCTTCATGAAACAGCCTCCTGCTTCACTTTTAATGTGACTGACAAACTCAACACAAAGCACTCATGATTATAGAAAGTAAACACAAAACTGATGAGGTGTTGGGATTTCCCCTGCTCTTCAGCTGTTCACATCTTACCTCTTGTACTACGGGCTGCTGGAACAAGGGAATCAGAGGGTTGGTTCTTGGAATGTCGATGTGGATCTGACAGGAAGAAACATGATTGAGATGTTACTTAAGATAATCAAAGCAGATCATGCTTAGTGTAGTTTTTAGTTAAAGGTAAAATTCGCCACCTTTTATGTGGATGTCCAATCATTGTTGATGGTAAAGGCAGTAAATTCCTCAGTACGTGCTATATTGACCCAGAAAGCTGAGTTCTCTTGCTCGCTCAACTGTGCCGACATGTACCAGGATACATTGCACATGCGCTTCTGACGCCTGTAGGGTCCTCGCTGACAATATTCTCTCTCCGTATACTCTGGCTCCAATTAATACGGCTGAATATGTGAGTCGGCCAAAACACTGTAAACTGGGCCCTAGTCCAGAACATCCTCGCCACTCATGTCTTGGCACACCATTTTCATAGTTTGCATGAAAGAGAACAAGAAAGTTCTGTTTTTAACTTTATTTACACAATAGAACTTACAACATGTTCAGGAAGTTCTGTTTTTGAGCAGCATCTATAGCAGGGGTCGCCAATTGGCGGACCGCGGTCCGGATCCGGACCCAGACGCCGTTGTATCCGGACCCAGGACCTAAAATCGATTTTATTTTGACAGGGCGCTTCTATTTTAACCGGCGCAGCTTTTTCAGCCTGTACGGAACTTGTTCAGTGATGCAGGAAACGCACCGACCAATGCGTTGTAAATCACATCACGTGATGCAGCTCAGCCAATCAAATATGAGTATTCTGACAAGTTTCCTGACTGGATTGAGATGTACACACACCGGGGGAGAGACGAGGAGAGAGAAGGAAGAGCAGGAGAATAATACGTGTCAGAGACGTTCACATAACGTTCTCCAAAGAGAGAAAAGTGGTCAAAGAGACCAGAGACTTTAACCAAGAATGAACAGACTCTTATAGGTTAATTCTTCCCACGGACAGTTTATAACCAGTGTGTCTCATATGTTCAGAGACCGTGACGATTATTAAAAGCGGTAAATGAAGCGACACTACGAGACAAAGAACAACTCTTTCAGCAAACGTACCCACTCACATCTAAATGAAGACACAGAAAATAAACCTAAGAGCCCAGTATGATCAGAATACCAACACATGGATTCACTGCCCAACAATGATGTTAACAGAGAGAATAGAGCTGAAACAAGTGGTTTAATAACCACAGATAAAGTCCATGCTCACTGATTTCTCTTTTTAGAAGATAAGAAAAATATAATATTGTGGTTTTTTTTGATTGACATCACTTCACACCTGAATGAACTGAATTTAAAGCTGCAGGACAATTCAGTGAAATTATTTTTTCTAAAATGAATTACTTTATTTTAAGATGCACATTTTTGAAAAGCTTTCTGTTATGTCAGTTATTCTTTAATCCAGCTCTTATTTTACTTGAAATTAGAGAACATGTATTTATGTATTTCTATGTATTACTTATTTGTTAAAATATAATTGATGTACTTTCTTTATTTGATTTGACAGTTGTTGACTACACAGACGCGTTACTACTACTAGACTTCTCGAATATATATATATATATATATATATATATATATATATATATATATATATGGCACTAAATAGCGCAAGTTAGATATTATTGTAATGTTCCGGACCTTTGCCCGAGGACATTTTCTCGATCTGGACCTTTTGGAATTTTAATTGAATACCCCTGATCTATAGCTTCCCCCCTAGCTACCCAGACGTGGACAGCTGAAACAGCCGGTAACTCTTCCTACCTCCAACTACATCACTGGCACGACAAATGACGGCGCTGGATTCAGGAAGTACAAACGCTTTCTCAGCAGAACTCTTTCGAGATCAATATACCACACTGAGGAATTTATTGCTTCAATCCACTACATTCACCATCCACATGGTTTAACTTGAACTGTAGTATTACCTGTCTGTATGTGTCTTTATAGTGCTCGTCTGTTCTGGAATGGTAATACTGCTCTATGAAGCCAAAGTATTCTTCTCGCTTCCTTTTTAGCACCAGCTCTCTGCGCTCCTTGTTGGCCGGCAGGTAGCCCTGTCAGAGAGAGAGTTACATGAACAGTTGCAGAGGAACTGAACTGGCCCATCATTTGAGGTAAGGTTGCCTGTAAGGATAAGGCTTTTGATATTATGTGAACATTTTCTGAAGAAGAATGCAACAGGCTCACACAGAAACTAAAAAGAATGTAACTTGGACTCTCTAACAGGCTTTGAGACCAAATGCTGTGCAACAAGCCAAAATACAGGAAGGTCACAATACTCACAGAGAGAAGCCTCCACGTGATTGGCCGGACTTCTCTTGGTATGCCCGACCAGCTGTGCTTCCGGAGTTCCTCTGTAAGAGCATAGAGTAAGATACAAACACAGTTCATCGCCAGCAGGGATCCACACACAGAGAGTGTGTAGTGTTGACCTGGAGCCATTATTTCCTCTTATCTAGCGCTATGAGAGTGTTGCTCTCCTACCTAGGTCAGTGTTGGGACTAGCCAGCAGCTGCTTGAATTTGTCCAGCCGGCTCTTCTCCCTCACTGTCATGGGCGGTGCTCCCGACGCGTTCTGGTCCGACATGCGGGCCACCAGTGGGATGATGGGACGAACTGGGAGAGACTGCTGCTTCTGCAGTGTGGAGCGAACTGTAGCGTGCCACACAAGAACAACAAGAACCTTTTTGTAGACAGTAGACAGTCCACAACCACTGCAAATGAGACACAATGTTCAACTTGTTCAACACCCAAAGTTAGGCCAGAAATGTGTGTATTATATCAACCTTTAAATGCATCCACTCAATCTTGACATTTCATTTCCTGTTTTGTTACTTCTATGGTTAATACTTGTAATGGTAGAAATGCTTGGACTTCCCATTTAAATGTACAGGTAGATGAGATTTGGAACGAGGGGCGACTTATATCACAAACAAGGATTATAACTATCTACTATTCCATCAGACAACGAAACCAACAAATCTCATCTTCATTATCATAGTTATGTGACGGGTATAAGTCAGCTGAGGGGTCACTTTCTGTTATTTCAGTCAGCATTGAAGGTGGAGTCAGCGATTCTGGAGAAAAATTGTTGATGTTTGATCATCTCTTTTGTGCTTAGAAATGATGACAAAATACTCTGGTCCATAAACTACCATTTCAACGTTAATATGATCCTGAACATACCTTTCAGATGGTAATGCTATTTGGGGAGCTCTGATAGATAAACTAGTCGTTTTTTGGAAAATAGGAGAATGTCTGGGACATCATTTCCAGGGACAATAGAAGATTTTCCAAGACATTTGACTTCTTCTCTCATTTACTAGGTGTTTTTATTGACTGGAAAATTGGTCAACTGTTTTCCAGGATGCGTGGGAACCCTGCTTAACAAGCATAATTGTGATAAGATACACTAGTGAACAGTACTGTGGTGTTCATGTTAGTTATCTCACTGTCTGTCACTGGAAACACATTAGTACACATCAGAGCATTTGGAGAAACATTTTCAGGATTGTAAAATGTTGAGCCAGGCACATGTTAATGGCCTGATATAACCCACTAGCCCCATCTGCAATGTCAACGTCTGTAATTAGCTTCACTTTGAATCCCCTGATAAGCTCCTCAGGAGCTCTTAATGCCAAATGAAGCTCTGCAGTGTATTGCCTACATACCAGAGGACGTGTTGAGGTGGACGTCACTGCTAGAATTGACAACCTTGCCGTTGACGTGCTCGCACTCCGCGTCCTCCTCCCCCACATCCTGGAGGTCTTGATCCTCTGTCCCGGGACTGTGTGACACCCTGGTTTCTGTATCTCCGACCTGATTCTGCTTTTGAGTGGAAACACATCAGAACATCTTTCATTTCACACTTCATTTCAATGCCCATGAACTGCTCAGGGACAAACAGGATGTCTTGGAGCTACCTGGTTCTGTGTTGACGAAGAGTGGAGACCTGATGATAGGGAGGAAGTTTGGGCTGGGGTCCCGAGAAAATCCTCGTCCTCCTCTTCGTCGATGTCCCAAGCGTCATTGGTACTGCGGGCGAACTCGTGGAAGCTAGAGGCCTTTTTAGACTTGGGATTGTTGAACTTGGGCTTTGTGTCTTTGGGATACCTGCAGAGGGACAGATTGAGAGATCAAACACAAAGAAAAAGAGACAGACAGACAGAAAAGGTTCTCATTCATGGCGGTGCTGGCGCACAATAAAGATATCACCCAAAGGAACACAAAAAAACCTAAACAGCAAATCCAACAAAAATCAAATAGGTTGAACAATGTAAATGTCAGCACTGGGTCAAACTGGTACAGTACTGGTGCATGCAATACACACATGTTCAAGTACTTGAAGCAGGGAACAATGAGCAGCAAAACAAGGTTGAAAATGGGAGACACAAATAACACGCACAAATAAAATGCATCCGTGTGGGTAACATGACGCCATGCAGTCCGGTTGGGTTTAGCACTTACGTGCGTCGCAACCGTGGGTCGAGAGGAGGATGCTGCGCTCCATAAACTGGTTGTACACTGTAGAAGAGGACATGTGAACCGCTGTCACCTCTGTGCAGAAAAACACATGTAGCCTCCCAGTCTTTAGCCCTGCTAATAGTCAGCTAATCTACTCATCCTTTATTATTCAGAGGAAAGTTAACACACGCACATCCTGTCCCTGTATGTGTTGGTCTTTGTGAACATATTTCCCCTTGTTTCCTAATGTATATATATATATATATATATATATATATATATATATATAAAAAAATAAAAGTGCATTGATGCAATGTTTCAACCTACAAGAAATCAATAAAAATCTATAAATACAGACAAGAAAGGACAACTCCATATATTATGTGTGATACACATTTATGGGGCATTTTTTGCAATACATATTTTTAAAAGGAGAATCTGTGCAATACAGAGGTAATGTGAGAAGAAACAAATCAGCCTAGGTTTGACATGAGGACACATATGTTAAAAGAAATGTAATTTTATATTTATTGTTTTTATAAGATGTTTTAGGTACATTTTCTCATTAATAAATAAATAAATATATATATGTATATAAAATGTGTGTATATGCGAGTTTCTTCAAATCCCCACCCCTAGGAGACCCTTAGACTTTCTCAGTAGGAGGAAAAAAAGTTATACATTTGACATATAAATTGAAGGGTTCCTATGCTTTAAGAAGATAGTACTTTTTTTTTAGATATTACACTATGCGCTGAATATACAATATTATTTAACAATTTTTTGATTAGGTTTCTCATAATGTAATAACTTTATATAAAATAACTCTAGCCCTGTCTTCTTTGGATTGTACTGTCTGCAGTGTGTATTGAACAGAACTAGGGGACAGCTTGCACCCCCCCTGTGTTCCTATACCCTGTGGTGGCCATTATGTTCAACGGATGTGAGAATCTTCTTTCTCAGCTCAGCTTCTTTCCAACTCTCTGGCGACCCAAAGCAGACACAGTCAAGAGTCACAGGATGGGATCTGGGCCAGACCCACTACATGCTTTTCCTTATAGAAAGTCAAAGGCAGCAGCCTCCTCCTCCCTATTCAACATTTAGGCTTTTTAAAAAAAAAGAAGTATTTTGAATGGATGCATGATCAACAGTCACACTTTACTTATAATTGTTATTACATAGCGTGGGAATTAAGGCAAGTGGTCATATCTGTGCCTGTGTTATCAGCACAAATCAGATATTAGTAACAGTGTTGTTAACAACTAATTACTTTTCAGACTGTCAAAAGAGGGAAGCTTTTGGTCAAAGTACCGGAGGTCTTCCGTTGAGGACTGCTCTCTTTAATAAGGATTCTGATCACAGATTGGGGAACAAAGGAATGTTGTTAACAACTTTTTCTTTCTTTCACTAGAGTGGTGGTCGAACACTAAGTCTTATAGGACTTTTTATCCAAAATGCTCTCCTTCCGGGTGGCAGAAATTTCACTAATGATAAGCACTACATTCAAAGTAGAGACTTTTGTGTGAATATCACAAAGCAACAAATATTAGTATTATGGACCGTCAAATGGTGGCTGCCCACGCCTGGGGCCAACCCGTGCCAACCTATTTAACGTTGTTTGCATGAACAAACTGACAGTAAGCCTGGTGGCTGAGAACTGGGCCTGCTGATTATCTGGCAGTGCCAGAGTGTCTTGTTTATCGGCCTCAGACTTTTATCAGGAGAGGCTCAAGGGCAGGCAGCAGGACTAGCAGCTTGCTTTCCTGTCCAAACATGTGTGTTTTCTAGCTTTCCACCCACCACAGTTAGAGACAGATCAGTGTGTGTGTGACATGGACAGCAACGCCCTCTCCTTAGAGAGCCTCTCCTCTATGATTACCCAAACACACTGCACAATATCCCCCCCCCC